GCCGTCATTGTTGTTTGGCGGGTCCAGGCTGGGGATTCGAACCTGCCACCTTAGGTGTACGTGGCTGGCGCCTTAGACGGTTGAGCTATAGGCTCCGAGCCGGTAGGTGTGTTTTTAATAAAAATAGGATTATATCATACATACTTTTCCTGTTTTTTGAATTTCATACTTTTCTTAAATAGAGGTGACTAGACAACGGAATTAGGGTTTGTTTTTGTTTTTCCTCTTTCTTGGCTCTTGACTATGAGAACATAAGAATTTTATTTTTTTAAGACAGGGTCTCTGTTGTCTGGGCTAGAGTACAATGGAATCATCATAGCTCACTGCAACCTCCAACTTCTGGGCTCCAACGAACCTCTTCCCTCAGCCTCCTGAATGGTTGGAACTAAAAGCATGCACTACCACATTTAGCTAATTTATTTTTTATAGAGACAGGATCTCACTATGTTCCTCAGGCTTATCTTGAACTCTTTGCCTCAAGTGATTCTCCCACCTCTACTTCCCAGAGTATATATGCCACTGCACCCAGCTGACAAGTGAATATTTTCATAACCTAGGGAAGAAGAAAGGAAATTGACATTGATTAAGTACTGCAGAGCATTTTATCTCATTTAACCTGGATAGGAATGGTGTGACCCCATTCCTGAGCCCAAGACTGAACTTTTTTGTACTTCCAGGACCAAACCTTTGCCATCCATCCCTTTCTGGTTACTGAGGGAATACCCTTTTTCCTGTCTTTTTGTCTCTTCTGTCTGGGACCGTTTCCGGATCCCTGACGACTTCCTGTCTGTAGCTATGGATTTGTTAAAAGTTCTTACCTGTTTGCAGCTGTGGATTTGTGAAAAGTCCTTTCCCTTTTGTCTTTTTTCTCTAAGTGATTTTACTGCTTCAGAGAAACCATGTATCATCTTCAGTCATCACTTTTCTTCTTGGCTAGTTAACTCAGTCTCAGTCATCCCCAACTCCAGCTCCCCCTTCCCACTCCTAGTGTTTCTTCTTTCTCCAGTCCTTTCAATGGGAGGGATAACACCTTAGTTCTTAGAAATGAAAGGTGAGGGCGGCGCTTGTGGCTCAGTGAGTAGGGCACCGGCCTCATATACTGAGAGTGGTGGGTTCAAACCTGGCCCCGGCCAAACTGCAACAACAACAAAAAAAATAGCCAGACGTTGTGGTAGGCGCCTGTGGTCCCAGCTACTCGGGAGGTTGAGGCAAGAGAATCTCCTAAGCCCAAGAGCTGGAGCTTGCTGTGAGCTGTGACGCCACAGCACTCTACCAAGGCGACAAAGTGAGACTCTGTCTCAAAAAAAAAAGAGAAAGAAATGAAAAGTGAAGACCATAACCCCAATTTGATTGACTAAGGCCTACAGAGGCACCATTAATGGGGCAAATATGTAGGAAAAGAAGAAATCCATAAAGCAAATTGTTCTAAGTCAGGTTGGAATGAGTCATTCTAAAGCCCTGCTTATGGAAATCACCCAATTTGGTAAACTCCCTGCCTTAGAGGCCAACATTATAGACACTGGCTTGACCATGTCCAAGAACGAAAGTGATCCAATCCCATTAGGCATGTTTTCCTAAGATTGTCTATCTTTAGCTACTCCTAATTTAATTCTGTATCAGTCTGAAGTGACAGCTTAAACATACTGCTTTAAAAATATAAAATGATAGCCAGGCATTGTGGTGGGCGCCTATACTTGGGAGGCTAAGACAAGAAATCACTTAAGCCCAAGAAGTTAAGGTTGCTGTGATTTATGATGCCATGGTACTCTACCGAGGGTGACATAATGAGACTCTGTCTCAAAAAAAAAAAAAGAAAAAAAAAAAATATATATATGTATACACACACACACATATATACACACACATATATACACACACACACACACATATGTATATATATATATAATAAGAGTTAGAATATTTATTTAGGGCAGAGATCTGGCCTTGCTGATCACTGAGTTCTCTGTAAGATCTATTTTTGTTAAATGAATGTAAAGCAAAATTAAAGTGAGATATAAGAGGGAATTTGAGGCAGTAGCATGTAGTTATTTTATGAGGCCATATACATTTTACATGATCCAATAGTCTAAAATTTACATGTAGAAATTTATAATATATTTTTAGCTGCCAGCTGAAGATGAAGTCTTACTACAGAAATTAAGAGAGGAATCCAGAGCTGTCTTCCTACAAAGGAAAAGCAGAGAACTATTAGATAATGAAGAATTACAGGTAAGAATGGCAAAAAAAATTGCTTTAGACATTGACCACTTTGTATTTTGTACTTAAAATCATGCAGGGTCTTGTAGTGCCTGATGGAGTCGGTACTGCAGAGTATGGTACTGCACAGCCTCTGAAGCAGTGGTTTCCATCAGAATCAGCTGCTGATCTTGTATAGGCCAAGTCCCTCAAGCATACTGTTATTTGTTTGGGCTGTTTATTTGTTTGTAAGTCCCTACATGATTCTAATATACTGCCAAAGTTGAGAACCACTGCTAAAAGGTCAGCCTGCAGAAGTTCAAATCCTAGCCCAGCTATATAATTTTAGACAGTGGACTTAGCATCTCTGTACTTCAATTCTCATGTATAAAGCAGGGATAACTACCTACATCACATAGTGGATTAGAATCAATGTTAGTAGGCACTCAATAAATGTTACTTATTTTTATTGTCATCAATAATCAGATAATAGGGCATGAAATTTATCTTAATACTGTGATCACACTATCATTTTAATGGAAAAACACATTTAACTACATTTTAAAATCTTGTTTTTAACTTATATCATCTTTATTTTCCCAATTCTCTTAAGAACTTATGGTTTTTGCTGGACAAACACCAGACACCACCTATGATTGGAGAGGAAGCAATGATCAATTATGAAAATTTTTTGAAGGTTGGTGAAAAGGCTGGACCAAAGTGCAAGTAAGAATAATTTATAAAGGATTATGTTATTTTAAGCCTTTTACATCCCTCAAATGTTGAAAATTGAAGTTAATGGTATGATATTTTGATCAACTTCAGTTACTAATGAAATTTAATAAAATTATTTATAGTCAAGAAGAAATTGGCCAAGTACAGTGGCTCATGCCTATAATCTGAGCACTCTAGGAGACCATGGCTAGAGGATCCTTTGAGCTCAAGAGTTTGAGACCAGTCTGAGCAAGAGTGAGACACTGTCTCTACTAAATATAGAAAAATAGCCAAGCCCTGGGCAGGCACCTGTAGTCCCAACTCAGGGACTAAGACAGGAGGATCACCTGAGCCCAAGAGTCTGAGGTTTCTGTGAGCTAGGCTGAGGCCACAGCATTCTAGACTGGGCAACAAGAGTGAGACTGTGTCCCCCCCCAAAAGAAGAAATTACATTGATCAGAGTTATTAAAAGAAATAAAATAGTTTATATGATACTTTAAGTTTTCATTCTTAAGAGAATGTGAAGTATATGACTTAATATTTTAATGTTTAAACTATAAGTGAAGACTATAGTTATCACAGATTTTTTTATTTTGATTTTTGCTTATATGAATTTATACTGTTGTTTGCTAATTTATATAATTATGTTTATGTTGGCAGATCATTTTAATCTTTATTTCCTTTTCTTAGGCAATTTTTCACAGCAAAAGTCTTTGCTAAACTCCTTCATACAGATTCATATGGAAGAATTTCCATCATGCAATTCTTTAACTATGTTATGAGAAAAGGTGATTCATTTTTATTGTGCTTAAATACTTCCTTTGTGGGAATCAAGTAGGTTTTTGGTCTGTGCTTTTATAGTATTTCGTCCATGTGAAATAACTCTCTTACTTAGTTTGAGGAGAAGATTTTCTTATCTTTTGACTAAGATTTATTATACTCTTATGAGTTTCTCGTGGAGCTTACTAGAAGCTGTGATTTTCTGCTACAAATTTGGGTTCATTATTATTTAAAAAAAGAAACCCTTGGCTCAGCACCTGTAGCTCGGCGGCTAGGATGCCAGCCACATACACTGGAGCTGGCGGATTCCAACCCAGCCCGGGCTTGCCAAACAACAGTGACAACTACAACAACAACAAAAATATCTGGGCATTGTGGCAGGCACCTATAGTCCCAGCTACTTTGGAGGCTGAGGCAAGAGAATTGCTTAAGCCCAAGGGTTTGAGGTTGCTGTGAGCTGTGCTGTTACACTCTACCAAGGGTGACATAGTGAGACTCTATCTCAAACAAACAAATACACAAAACCCCCCAAAAACCTTATTTATCTTAAAGACAGCAGCAAACTAGAAATACCAAAGGCTAAACCAAGAGTTTTAAAGTATGATGATTTGAAATAATTTTAATTTATTGGTAATTTTATTTCATCAGTATATTATAGGTTGAGTTGCCTGGAAGGATAGTTTCAAACCCACAACTGTAGCTCCATTTTAAGGAGCTTCTAATAAACAACTTGGAGCTATGATTTCTATAAATGCCATCATTATCTGTGGAATCCTATTTTATACCATCTTTAATACTTGGTTGCTATAATTAACCGACAACAGCTTCACTGCAGCCATTATACCATCTGTCCCTGTTTGGGGGAACACTAAGTTTAATCAGTAAAGAACAATGTCTTTAAGGGCATCAATTTTATTGTGACTTTAGTCATGGTAGAATTATTGTAGTTTGCCATTTTACATTTTTGTGTGTCAAGCAATTTTGGGGTTATTCTATGGTATGTGTGAAAAGCAATATGTTATTGGATTAGCTGATCTCAAATTAAGTCCTTTATCTCCTTTTTCCACATATATGCCAAGGAATAGATACTAATAGTTACATTTCATTTCCTTGTTTGTCAGTTTGGCTTCATCAGACAAGAATAGGACTCAGTTTATATGATGTTGCTGGGCAAGGGTACCTTCGGGAATCTGTAAGTATTAACCTACTTTTAATAACTATTACAGATACCAAAATGTTAACTGTAGTTATCACTGGGTGTTGGGATTACAGGTGATTCTTGTTTTGTTTTGTTTGTTTTTATGGGAGTTTCTTTTTACTTTTGCAAACATTATTTTTTTTTCTGTGAACATTTATTATTAAAAAAATTTTTAATGTACATTGGCCATAAAAATTCATTTTTAGATTCATTTTGTCCAACCTTTAAAATAGGCCTTTTAAGACTGGGCTCGGTAGCTCATACCTGTAACCCCGGCACTCTCGGAGGCTAAGGTGGGTAGATTGCATGAGCACACAGGTTCGAGACCAGCCTGAGCAAGAGCAAGACCCTGTCTCTAAAAAATAGCCAGGTGTTGGCTTGGCGCCTATGGCTCAAGCGGCTAAGGCGCCAGCCACATACACCTAAGGTGGCAGGTTCGAATCCAGTCCCCCGACCCGCCAAACAACAATGATCAACCCCCAAAAAAAATAGCCGGGCATTGTGGTGGGCGCCTGTGGTCCCAGCTACTTGGGAGGCAGAGGCAGGAGACTCGCTTGAGCCCAGGAGTTGGAGGTTGCTGTGAGCAGTGAAGCCATAGCACTCTACCCAGGGGGGGACAGCTTGAGGGTCTGTCTCAAAAAAAAAAATAGCAAAATAGCCAGGTGTTGTGGTGGGCACCTGTAGTCCCAGCTACTTGAGACGCTGAGTAAGAGGATGGCTTTGAGCCCAGGAGTTTGAGGATGCTGTGAGCTATGACACCATGGCACTCTATTGAGGGCAAGAAAGTGAGACTCTGTCTCAAAAAAAAAAAAAAAAAGAACATGTGAACTACCTTGAGTGGTTCTAGCTTATAGCAATGTCTTCATGTAGCACATGACAGATGTCACTATATTTCTCTCAGAATTTTAAAATACACTGATACACCCCTGTGCATTCACTCTGTAGCACTCCTAGGGCACCTGGGTGTGCAGTTTTGGAACTGTGGAAATTACCTTTCACTTTGCTATAGGTGGGAGTATAAACACCTGTGGCCTTTATGGGAAAGGGAAGTTTGCCAAGGTCTATCAAAATTATACATGTGCATATGCTTCATCCAAGTAGGTCTACTTAACAGAAATTATATTCTATATTCTTCAACAATATCTATAAATAAAAAATTACCTTAGCCCTGATAGTACTGTTTAATGTAGCAAAAGGTTAGAAATAACTTGAATGTCCATCAATAGAGGCCTAGTGAGATTATGGTATATCCATATAATGAAATAATATAGCAATCTAGAATAGTAGACTGCTATATTCTATAGTCAATATAGAATGACTATAATGGCATATTAAATGATAAAAGCAATTTTCATGGTATGTTGCTATATCTTGTATAAACAGAGGGAAATCTTTTTACATCTTGCGTAAAAACACACACGTGTAATTTTGTATGTATGTATTAGCTTATATTTGCATCACTTATCTTTAGAAAACTACAACAGAAGTTGATAAATGGGGAGAAGAAATGGGTGAAAGACTTTTTAATGAGTCTTTTTGTTCCTTTTGCATTTAGAATTTTTTTTTTTTTTTTTTTTGAGACAGAGCCTCAAGCTATCCCCCCTGGGTAGAGTGCCATGGCATCACGCTCACAGCAACCTCCAACTCCTGGGCT